ACACCTCGGGGGTTGTTTCAGACTCTCCAAAAGGGATCCCTCACTGTTCACTTGGTGACTGTTTGCTGCAAACAGGAACCCAGGCTTTGTAGTAACAGTTGCTGACACCCTGGGACATGGAAGCTTCTAGATGACTTGTTTTGTGCTGAATAACAAGTCTATGATCTTGTTCATGCATTAACTACAGTAACACAAGCTTCTTTAAACCAAAAAAGGACCTCTGCCATTATTAGAAGTTTGTTTGCAGTGTATATCTAGTAAAGGGCAAAGACTCTTCTACCCTGTTTGTTAACACTACTGGTTGTTTGCTTTTTATTTCTGTAAGAATTATTTCAAGAGGGATATGACAGCTGGATGCCCTTGGAGGCAGCCCACAGCTCTGCTGTGTCCTGTCAGTGCTGCTGGCATCAGCATCTTGCAGAGTCACCCCTTGGAAACCCACCTGGCACAGTGATAACTGGAGTAGCCTTGAGAGGGACAGTGAGTGTACATTTCCCTTGTGCTTATAGTGCCTAAAGCATGAAGAGCCAATGTACGAGGTGAGCGTGCCTTGTGTTCTGCAGTATTAATGGAAAACAAATTGCCTACAGGGAGGAATCCTAACTCTTGAATTTTTCCCTTCTTACCAGAGACTTCCTCACAGTGCACAGTGTAGCAGGCAGCTGCTGTAAAAGAATTAGATCTTTCCCACAGACAGGTTTTTAATTAAGTCACACTTCAGTTTCCTGTCTAGGTAAGACTGCCCAGCTTCAGAGGGAAACACATCCTCAGCTGGCTGATGTGAACTATTTCACTGACCTAGACATGAGCCCAACCTTTTCTCTTGACTAAACACTACGTGGGCAGAGCAGATGAATTCTGTGTGTGAAGCTGCTCCTCTGGTGGTGGCAGATGTCTGGGTAGCCCCTGTTACAGGCTGAACTTGCCAGCAACAGCCCAGCAGCCAACCCCAAGGGCTGGGGCTGGATCTGCTTCGCAGCTGAGCTGGTGAGACCCCGGGCCTGACCGAGGTTGTCCTTCCAAAACTAAAACCTCACAGCAACAGTGCTGTGGACACCCAGTGCCAGTGCACTCCCCACCTCTGCTCCACACACTCCACGAGGACCTGACCAGGAGGGAGAGGGAGCATGAATCCATGGCTCTGTGTGAGGACAGGGCTGAGGTGTCTCCGTGGCCTTGGCCCTGGCTGGGAAGGTCCATGCTGGAAACCACTGCTCATGGGGAAGATCTCGTGCCAGCAGGGCCATGGGCAGCTTCTGCACGAGAAACTCAGTGCCAGGGACTGGGAGCTGCTGTTGGCACCACACCCCATGCTGCTCCACCTGCTCCCTAGAAGCCTCTTCTCAGGAGTGGCACCAAGGACAGGAATTACAGCTCAGGCCAGAGCAAATCTTCAACTACTCCAGGTCCTGAGTGTAGGAGGAACTCTCAAAGGCCTCCAGAGGACTTCGTGCAGACCAGTTTTTATTACAGGGTGATCCAAGAGTGGATTTTTAATGTGTGTGAGCAGCATCTGTAGTAAAACCCTGGCAGTAAAACCTCTCCTTGCAGTGGTGGGCTGTGTGCTGTCCTGCTTCTGGCTGTAATTGCTTCATTCCAACGTGGACCTTCTGTGTGTTCTAGGAAGGGAAAGTGTTTACTGTGCCCCCCTGGTGCCACTGCAGCTCGGGGCAGGGGGGACACGTGGCCTTATATGGGACATGGTGATCAGAGTCTAATGTGGGTATGGGCTAGATGTGTTTTTGCCTGGTTATGTTTTGGTAACATCCTTAAAACAGCAGCACTTGCAACTCTTAAATGGGGGGAGTGTCTTCATTTGTCTTCGCTTCCATATAAGAAAACAAAAAGTGCAGTACAGTCATACCAGGCAGTTAAATTGTGGATGACCCCATGGAGTCTGTCCCAAGCACAGTTCAGTCGTGTGGCTCATTCAGAAGGGATACAGTGAGCAGAAACAACACAGGAACGTGGGCCTGAGTAAGCAGATCCCTTTGGAAATCAGCTGAGAGCAACGAGCTGGGATAATGGAGCTTCACAGACCCAAGCTAAGCTGGTGCAGCACAAAGGAAATCTCCAGGCCTGGTGCATGTCCAGCGGAGCCCGGGGCTCTGTCGGGCCAGCTCTGCAGCCAACACCAAACTGCAGGAGGCAGGACAGCCTTCCCACATCTCTGCAGCTTTACCTCAACCCCTCACAGCTCCTCCTGACCTGCTGGCATTAACCACTCGTTCTCATGTTGGCAATGTTGCATCCACACACCCCAAGTGCCATCGGGAAGGATGGCGCAGAGGGAAGTGGTTGTAAAGATCTGAAGATCTGTCATGTATTGTTTGTCAATATTCAAGGAAAACCTGCTTTTAGAAAAGGGGCCAGGATGCTGGCAGGTTAGGGGTGTAACAATCCTGCCCGCCAAGTGCAGGATCACTGACATTTTTTGGGTTGGTTAATTTTTTTTTTGGTTGGGCAGTAAATAATTTTAACAGTTTAATAAATATTTCTGAAAAACACATATTTCTGCGAGACTTGTGTCTTTTTTTTTTTTTTTTTTTTTTGTGGAAAGTAATACCATCCATTCTTGGGGATGCAGCTTATGGATCTGTCTGTGTACAACTTCATGGAAATACAGCCTCAAGCCAGACAAGGTTTAGGACAGAGCCATTCCAAGATTTATGAAATACATTTTAAAATACATTACATATTTAGGAATGGCTTATGATGACAAAGAATATGACAGAGCCTTTTCTAGAAAGTACTGTAAGCTCCTTAATGGAAGAGGTGTGTCTGTATTTACACATCCTAGCCCTGAAACAGATGTTTTGCCCTTTTTCCCCAATTCAGCTAAAACCAGCAGCAAGTCCAATTTCCAGAATGGATTTAAATCCTGTGTAGAAGGGTGAGGACAGAATGAGTGCAGCTGCAACCACATTTACCCATGACACCCTCCTTCAGTGACTGCCCATGGATTCATCAGGATCATGAGGCATTTTCTGATGTGTTTACTGTCCTGTGGTGCACATTCCTCTGTACAAAGGAGTTTCATCCTCCCATGTCATAGACAGTGGATTGGTCCCATGTTTCTCTCTCACCTGGCAGAACTAGTTAAGGACACAGTATCAATAAAGGCCTTGCCTGTCCCAGTGTCTTCACAAAAATGAAACCATTTCCCATCAGCTTCTGTTTTGGGGCACAAAAGTTTGTTGCCATTCCAATCGTGTGTCTCCAGCATGGGACTGTTTCATAACAGACCTGTGGACATCTGGCACACGGATAACTCCTCACCCAGGCAGCCAGACAAGGTGTGTGCTCATCTCAGTGGGATGCCTGTACACACGGTGCATTTCTTACAGCAATCACCAGTTCAAAACCATTCATACAAAAGTTTATTTTCTCTAAAGAACAATTTGACACACATCTGAACTGCAGTAGGAACCAAACCATAGAGAGCTGCTGGCAGCAGAGTCACAGGCACAAGGTGGCAACACCACAGCTTGTTCTGGAAATGCTGTCACAGCCCTGAGCTGCCATAAGGGTAGGTCACGGACCTCAAGGACAAGGCACAGTCACCTATCGGTGCTTATCATCATCTCTTTGCTTCTTGGTATCTCTGTCCCTGCTCCGGTCTCTGTCCCTGTCCTTCCTGTCTCTGTCCTTCCTTTCCCTCCCCCTGCTCCTCTCCTCTTTGGAGTCTCTCTCTCTCTCACTGTCACCCCAAGCCCACGACCTCTCCCTTTCGGGCCAGCGTTTGTCCCTACTCCTCTCATGGTCCCGGTCCCTTGTTCTCCAGTCCCTCGTTCCCTCACGAGACCAGTTTCTTTTCTCTGATGATCCTTCTCCATAGAAATCATTTTTCATGTTTGGCAAATTGATGGGCTTTCGGAAAGGTCTGTCCCGTCCTCCGAACCGCAGCTGCCCGGATTCCTTTTTGCCTCCAAACCCACCCCCAAGCCTCCGGGGAATCCAACCTTTGAGAGTTCTTTCCAGTTCAAAGTCTACAAAGATCTCATGTTGGTCGATGACCAGCCTGTTGGCATCTCTGTGCGCCTTCAGCAGCGCGCGCTCCTCTTTGTACTCAATAAACGCATAACCCTTGGAAAATCCTGTGACCAGGTCTCGAACCAGACGGATCTTCCTGATGTCTCCATAGCGGGAAAACACCTCCTTTAACTTCTCTTCTGTGGTCTGGAGATTGAGCCTCGCCACAAAGAGGGTGAGGTGAGGATCCCCCGTGACGCCCTTGTTGGGCACGTACCGTGCCAGCATCGCCCGCCATATGGCCCGGTCGTGGGGCTCCTCGTCCGTGCCATCGATGCTGCCAGCCTTGAGCGGGTCGTACTCCTTCGCTATGGGGGCCCAGTCAGCCATTGTCTAGCGGGGGAGAGCACACATGGCACAGGCTCACGGCTGTGTCAGAACAGCCTGTGCAAGGAGCGCTTCCAGCACTGTGTTCATCCGAAAATCCCCCAAAGTGTGACACATTAAAATACACCAGCCGTGTCGCTGTTGTTTGAGTCCACACGCCGGGACAGAGCCGTGTGGGGGAGCCGCATCCTCCCCCGGCCTACCCCGGCCCCTCAGCCCCTCAGCCGCCCGGCCCCTCAGCCGCCCGGCCCCTCGGCCCCTCAGCCGCTCGGCCCCTCGGCCGCCCGGCTCGGCGGGACGCGGCTCTCCCGGCGGGCAGGGGCCGGTCCGCCGGCCCGGAGGAGCCGCAGCCGCTCCCGCCGGGCTCCTTTCCCCGCTGCCGGAGCCGCCGAGGCGGACGTGGCGCCGCGGAAAGGCCGATGCGTTCCCCCGCCCCGGGGCCGGTTCCCGGGGCTGCGGTGAGCCCCCCCCCGTCGCTTACCGGCAGCGGAGCGCGGGCGGCGCCTCCTCAGGGGAAGGGGCAGGGCGGGAAGCGGAGCGGGGCCGCGGCCGCCGCCATGGGAGCGCCGGGGGCGGGAGGGGCCGCGCCGCCCGCGGCAGCGCCGCCCGGCCCGGCCGGAGGGAGGGAGGGAGGGAGCGCCGGGGTGCGGCGGGCATGGAGCGGGGCCGGGACGGGGAGGAGGAGCTGGAGGAGGAGGATGAGGATGAGGAGGAGGATGGCGGCCCAGAGAGCGCCCTGGAGAAGAGCCCGTTCCAGCTGACTGCCGCAGATGTCTACGACATCTCCTCGGTGGTGGGCCGGGACCTGCTGCAGCTCCACGCCGGGCCGCAGCTGCCCGCCGCCCGCGCCCGGCTGCAGTTCAGGATCGTCAGGGTGCTGGAGATGCTGGAGGCGCTGGTGAGCGAGAGCAGCGTGGCCGAGGAGCAGCTGCGGCGGGAGCGGGACAGCCTCCGGCGGGAGCTGGAGCAGCTGCGGGCGGCGGCCCGCGGGAGCGCCCCGCAGGTGGGTGCGGGGCTCGGCCGGGGCACAGGGGACTCGGCTGGGACACAGGGGGCTCGGCTGGGACACAGGGGACTCGGCCGGGGCACAGGGGACTCGGCTGGGACACAGGGGACTCGGCTGGGGCACACGGGACTCGGCTGGGGCACAGGGGACACGGCCGGGGCACACGGGACTCGGCTGGGGCACAGGGGACTCGGCCGGAGCACACGGGACTCGGCTGGGGCACAGGGGACTCGGCTGGGACACAGGGGACACGGCTGGGGCACAGGGGACTCGGCCGGAGGACAGGGGACTCGGCTGGGACACAGGGGACTCGCCCGGGGTACAGGGGACACGGCCGGGGCACAGGGGACTCGGCTGGGACACAGGGGACTCGGCTGGGGCACAGGGGACACGACCGGAGCACAGGGGACACGGCTGGGGCACAGGGGACACGGCTGGGGCACACGGGACTCGGCTGGGACACAGGGGACACGGCCGGGGCACAGGGGACTCGGCCGGAGCACAGAGGACTCGGCTGGGACACAGGGGACTCGGCCGGGGTACAGGGGACTCGCCCGGGGTACAGGGGACACGGCCGGGGCACAGAGGACTCGGCTGGGACACAGGGGGCTCGGCCGGGGTACAGGGGACTCGGCCGGGGTACAGGGGACTCGGCCGGAGCACACGGGACTCGGCCGGGGCACACGGGATTCAGCCGAGGGCACAGGGGACTCAGCCGGGGCACACGGGACTCGGCCGGGGCACACGGGATTCAGCCGGAGCACACGGGATTCAGCCGGGGCACACGGGACACGGGCCCCGACACCGGCACACCACGCGCGGGTCGCAGAGCGCGCCCAGAGCCGCACCAGGCTGGCCGATAGTTGTGGTCTCTTTTGTGTCACAAAGTCACTTCCCGTCTTTGGCCGTGAAAGGCTTGAAGCTCTTTCCTTCGGGGTGGTTGCAGTGCTGTGGATTCCTCGCTCGTTTCACTGCAGTGGCTGACCCAGCAAAGTTGGGTCGGTCATGCACAAAGACCCGCACAAAGTTCAGAGAGTACAAACGCGCCGTGTTCAGCTCTTGCACAGCACCGGCCCCATAGAGATAACTGTATACAAACACTGAGGCTTTGTTACCCCCTGTGAGGGAAATGGATGTCTTGATAACTACAGAGGTCTTAAATCAAAAAAGGCGAGTTCAGTTCTCACCTTTCTTTGACACGGACTTTTGGTGTGGCATTAGATGGCTCAGCCTCACTCATCATCTGAGAACAATCTGATAAAAGCGTCTTCCTGACAACTAAATTGCAAACTCTTGGGACAGAGACTTTTCTTTTAACGGTCAGAGCCTGTCACAGCTGTGGCCTATACTTGGCTGGTCACTAAGAGAATACAAAAATATAAAGAACTATAATTAACTGCTTGAAAAAAAAATCAGGATTGTGATGAATTCATATTAGTTCTAAAAATTCCGTATTTAGAAAATCCAGATATTTTACTCTGAATGCTGAGTTTTTTGAGAGGTTACAAGGTCTATCACTGTTTATTTTACAGCCCAGCCTTGGACCAGATCAAATGGTGATAGACCTCACAGACCCCAACCGGCCCCGGTTCACATTACAAGAGCTCCGAGATGTATTGCAAGAGAGGAACCAGCTGAAAGCTCAGCTTCTGGTGGTGCAAGAGGAGCTGCAGTGCTATAAGAGGTAAAGCTTGAAGCCAGCAGAGAACTAATACCACTAATAACAAGTACTTCATGAAGCTTATCAGGTGAGAGTCTTGCAGGTTTGGGCCCCTAGGTCAGGATAGGCACTGCCCAGATATGTAAGTGACCTCTGTGCTCCCCAGAGCATACAAATGAACAAAGAAAAATGGGGGAACAATGAAGTCTTTATGCAACAGGAATTAAAAACCAAACTCCCTTTTCTTCTGCACAGTTCTCAGCCCATTCCCATGATTGTCCCACTCTCAGCCTACGCAGAGTTACTCCCACTCCACATCCAGCCTGGCTTCTCCTGCACAGGAATTCATCTGTGCAGTCACAGCAGCTGCACAGACACTGTATCTAAAGCAACACGACATACCAAAGAGCACGGGGGGTTTCCAGCTCAGATTTAGTCAAGCTTTCCTTCCTCCTGCAGCACCGTGCTGGGTGATCTCCGGTCCTTTGCTCCCACGGGGATGTCGCACTGATCTAGAAACAGAATATTGAGCTCTTTCATTATTCATGATAAGCTGTGGGGTTTTTAAGACTGCCAACAGAAGGTTGTGTAAGGCCTTTGAACTGTGTAAAGCAAGTGATTTCAGAGAAGGGTTTGGTCATTCCTGAAGGGAGAGTCAGTGAGTCAAAGGGTGGGATGTGGGAAGGGTCTTGATCTTGGTGCTATAAATTCATTCACCCCAAAGGATTTCCTTCCCAACCTCTGCCCCCTCTCATCTGGTTGGATTATAAACTCTTTGGGTCAAGAAATTTCTTCTTGATCTAGACACAAAATGTCTGAGCACATTAGATTTCAGTTGGGATATCTCAGCAGCACCCTCCTGGATACAGCGAGCCCGCCCTTTGGCTTGTCTGTAACAGGCAGGTTAAGCCAAGAAGTTACACTTAAATCCAAGAATTTACAAACTGCCTAGCAGCACTTCCCAGCTCAGCTGGCTGCTTTGCTGTGCAGCAGTGGAATGGCTTCTTGCTTTGATTTCCCAGCTGTTACACAGTTTAGTATAGGCCAAGTTAAACATGTAACAGTGGGAATGTTTTCAGGTTTTTAGTGATCTAGTCAAAATGCTGTGCACCAAGAGAAGGGCAGGGCTGCTTATCAGGTCGAGTAATTTGTGAGATTATCTCCTCATACAGTGTTACAGCTTAAGCCAAAACCCATTTTCCCTCTAAATAGTCACATAAAATCCTAATTGTAATTGTGTAAAGAGTAATTGTGCAGAAGAGGATAAATAGATGTTCTAAAATGCCTTGTATGCATTGGAAATAAGCTCTGCATAACACAAGGTAACAAACAGCTCAGAGACTGGCTCAAAGTGGCTGGTGCTCTGCAATGTCACCCAACAGCTCACTGTCTCATTTATCCAAGAGGAGAGTCTGCCTCAGAATTATCCTGTGCCTGGTGTCACACCAGTTTTTAAGTGCTCTGTGTTTTTATTTCCGAATCCAGTTGAGTGTTGCTTGGCTGCTCTTTGCCTGCAGCTACCACAGTCACAAGCTTTGATCCACTGAGCTCTCCAAATGACTGAGGTCAGCTCAGGACATGTTGTGAAAACACTGAGTGAGCAGGCTGGGAAAATCTCACCCTGTTCCAGGCAGGGAAAACACCCTTTGGTCAAACCGAAACTGTTGCCTTGAGTAGGCGGTTACAGCTTCTGGATTGTAGAAACACTGAAGTGGGATGGCAAAATCTAGAGCTGAGGCAAAGCCTTTCTTCTCTCCTCTGTAGGGTGGAAAGAGGAACAGGCAGTTGCCTTGCAGGAGAGCTGGGAACTTCCCATCTGTTCCCAGGCCTGGTGTGAGCCTGGGTGGCTGTGCTGGAGGTACAACACATCTACCCCTGCAGAAATTCACCATTTGTGTCTTCACCCTCTTCTTACCCTTCGGTTTTGCACAAATCCAAGTGTGATTACACTTCCCTTTCACCCCCATTATGACTTGCCATTTTTTTTCTCTGTGGAGAAGTCAGCTTGTTACTTTTTTAGTGTTCTCATTAAAGCATAACCCTGGCACCATTACACTGCTGTATTTAGAGATAATAATTCATTATTTTCAGTTCACTACAGGGAAGAGGCTGGGCCATCATCCCTGTCCTGTGAACACTCATTCACCCATGCCCAGTGAGAGGTCTAACTCATGCACTGTCACACTCTGCAAAAACCCACAAAAAATAAACAAAAACATTTATTTTCCCAGTGGGATCATCTCACAGAAAAGGGACCAAACTGAAGAACTGGAAAAAGAAGCCAGTGGTAGCAGTGCTGGCAGCAGAAAGGACAGTGAAGAGAAGACAATCATCAAACGGTTGTAAGTTTGTCTGCAGCTTTTGGGGCAGAATTTATGGGAACATGGCCCACTCCTTTCACAGTGAATCCAGGAGTGGATGCTGAACTTTAGCCTAATTGGCTGGATATTGTTTTCTGCTCTCCATGAAAAGTTAAAAGCCTGATAAAGCAATCTCTTCCTGGGGAAAAAGCACTGCACAGGAAAGCAACCTCCACCCAGGCAAACAGGGAGTCACTTTTTTCCTAGGAAAAACAAGCATTCCTGAACAAAATGATTCAATACTTGCCTCCCCTGCCAGCCCCTCAGGGTTGTGCTGTGGGAGCACCCCAGCTGGCCCCAGGCTTTATTTACACTGTACACAAAACCCACCAGCTCAGGGTCTGTTCCTAAAGTCCCCCAAAATAGCACAGTGGCAGGGCCAGCCCCCTGCCTGTTCCTTGTTTTCCACTTGTAGATTATTGTTCCCTTTCTGCTATTGATTTTTTTCTTTTTCTAGGTTTTCTTTTAAACATGGAAAATGAGCATCCTCAAGGACTTTGCTGCTGGTGAGAATGGCCCTGATGAGCCTCAGAGGCACTAGGAAAGACAATGATTGGAAGCAGCAGCATCACTCCTACTGTAGAGAATGAGCAATCTCATTAAAATCCTGTTGTATAATATTCTTTCAGAATAGATTTTACTCTGCTTTTTCAGAAACTGTTTGAAACAGACACTTTTTGTATTTCTTAATGTCAGACATTACCCACATGTAGAAAATAAAACATTTATAAAAAGTTGGGGTTTATTCTTATTAGAAGAGCCTGTGATGATCTGTACTACAGCATACTTATCCTGTCCAGCTATCAAAACATTCAGCCCAAATGATTTTGTAAGATGAAGATAAGTTAAGACAGACATGCCATTCACAAGTGGTTGTTTGAGGTGAGATGACCAGTGGAGAAAAGTACAGTGAAGGAAGAAAAGCTGCTGCAATTTGGCTCTGCCCACATGAAGGCCTGAGGTGCAGGCACTGCTCAGACTGGAACAGATGCAGCAAACATTTCATTTCTGACAGCTGAAGGTCTCCTGTGGTAGGAGTTGTGTTTTGCATAAGCTCTGTTCTTTCAATCACCTGCCACAAGCTGTGTATTGGCCTCAGTAATGAGATTTAGCACCAGTGGAAGCATATAGGGCAAACAGAGGAGTGGGGAAAGAAGCTTGAAAGACACCAATTAGATTCTCCATTTAGAAAGGTAGAATATCCAGAGCAGAAGTCTGAACAGACATAAAAGAAGCAGTGACAGGTATCAAACTGTGATCTTACTCTCTTCAGAAATAAAAGCAGGCTCTGAAGTCTTGATTCCCTCTCCTACACTGGCAGCATGAAAAATATAGGGCACTTCACACATCTGCTCAGCTGCACAATGTAAATGTGGCTCAGCAGAAGGCAGAGCTGCAGCCTCCCTTCAGAGGTCAGGAACAACTACCTGTTGTAGCAAGGCCACACCTCAGGTGGCTGACCCAAGCCAGCTGGTTTAGCCAGGGCACAGAACCAATGAAGTCCTTTTGCCATCTTCAAAATATCAATAAGCCTTGGCCATGCCCTCATTGTGTATTTTCTAGAGCATGGCAGCAGGGAAGGCAGTACTGCATGGCCTGAGCAGAGGCTTTGTGCACAGAAAAACAAAACAAAGAAACAATCAGCAACAGCCAGGATGCATCTCTGAGCTGGAGAGATGCTGATATGTAATCTGAATTCCATCCTCTTCCAAGGTTTATCCAGGCATATATTTTCCAATCTCCTTTAAAAAGCAGTTTAGCTCCCAACCCAAGGGTATCTTTCCCTGTGACACCTTGTTAGAAGATGAAGCTTTCCTGTGAGGCACAGAGATAAACACCCAAATGGCACATTCCAGGGAGAAGTACATTGAGATAGACCTCTAGATCTCTGTATGTGTTCCTAGAAAAGTAAAGGATACATACGCAGTGCAACATGAGCTTTATTCCATCCTCCAATGCAGTGCTACTCAATTACCAGTTAATCTTTCAGAAAATACATTTTCTTTTTATGTAAAACAGGGAGATCTTTCCCCTTTCTTGTTTACAAAAGCGATGCTGAAGTACAGAGGTTTTAAGCTATTTAACCTGATAGAGAACACATAAATGTTTAAATAAAATTTTAAAAATTTATTCCAATTTTGACTTAAGGGAAGTGCTCTAGTTTAACAGGACACTGTACACATTGCTGAGGTCCCTATTACTGAGACCAGAGAAAAAAATCACTGCCAACTCAAGACAAGCTGGCCAACGAGGCTTACCTGAAATTCAGTACATGTAATTCAACAGGTCTCCAGTTAATTCTTCAGAAATGGGAAAATACCTAGGCTTGCTCTGACGAGTTTGCCTTGTGTGAAGCAGTAAATAATATAAAGCATTTAATAGCCAATGATTTTCACAGCTTTCTTTCAAAATGCTCATAAAACTGCAATGGAGACAGGTAGTATAGCAGCCGTTTCATCAATAATAAATATATTCTTTATTTTACAGAGACATTGTCTTCAAGTTTTTAATTTAAAAAATACATCACTAAGCCACCTCTCTTGCTGCTGGAGCACACAACCAGGATGTTGTTGCTATCTGACCTATCACATAGGCAAGCATAAGATTGTCTAGAGGGCATTCAGCTGGAACAGCAGCAGCCTTCAAGACATGAGGAATAGAAGACATTAACAGAGCCACAGATCCCTTGCTGACATCTTCCAGCAGCAAGCGTGGCTGATGGCTCACAGCCATTTTCATCTACACACGTGCCAAGCCTGCCTTGGCAAAAATTCCAACTGGTAAGAATTCCTCTTTAACATAAAGGACCTGCATTGTATTGCCTGCCTATATCCCAGATTTGGCTCTCCAACAGAAACGTTCCGAACATCCACGAGATGCCAAGCACTCGACTCCCGTGTGAGACAGTGGGACCAGACATGCTGGACAGACCTACAGGACCAGGCAATAAGGAATCTACTTTCTTCACTGCATGAGCTCCATCACTACAGTTTGAAGCTGCATATGAAGAGGACTCCTATTTTTGGAACCACTATGCTCTACTTCAAGCATTCACAGTAAATAAATAGCTTCTGATGTGGCTAATTAGCATAGGAAGGTAATATAAAAAAAATTTTGGAGAGAGTTTTTACTTCTTTAAAATCCTCTGGGAGATGCCTCTGATAATCAGCCATCAACTATAAAAAAGGTACCTTCTCAAAGTTTAGAAAATAAGTAAATGTCAAACATTAATTCTCACTGTGAAGTTCTATCTTCACATCTGTAATCAGTATCAACCCAGTCTACTAAAATTTATCCTCATTTGGCCGGGAGCAATTTCTCCAAAGGAAGCAGTCAATCTGACCATCCTTTTCCCTCAGTGCCAGTGCATTTGAAGTTCATTGCCAACAGAATGTATGACACAGGAGAAACTGGATTCCTACCACAAATTATTTGAGAATGACAGTAGCATCCATCTCAGAGAAGCCTGTCAGCACTGAGCTGTGAAAAGCAGTCTGACAGGCAGTCAAGCCACTGGATGACCAAGTCAGAGTACAGCAATACTTCTGTCATAAAGCCAAAGTTCAGCACCCCAACGTGGGGCGTGAGATTTCCTTGCAAAAGCAGAAGCACAACCCCAGTGATGAAGTTTCTGTGCAAGTCTTTCACTGCTCAAGTGGCACTGGTCACTACGCAGAAGCAGTCGAATTTTAAGGAGGGTTTTCCTTTTATGATAGAAAAGTTTTGGCAATCTAAGATCAAATATTCAAGCCTGCCTGGAAAACTGTAATAGGTATTTAAATACTGCAAAGCAAAAAGGCAGTTTTTGAGGAGCTTGGAAGACCATAAGCCATCCACTAAGAAAGCTGAGGGAAGTGAGGGCAGAAAAAAAAAAATTCATTGACTCCTTGTAGAACACTCAGTCCAAAAATAAAAACCCCAAAACAAGGAAGATGAATTAGTGTTTCAGCCACGGGTGAGCTTCAATGGAAGCTTTGCTTCTGTCTCCATAGTCGTACAACAGTTCTTCACCTGCCTTAATGTCCCTGGAAGCTATGAGGATGAGATGAGGCACACCATCGATGTCGTGGAGCTTGGTCTGACAATTGCCACACTTGCTGTGATTAATGAGCCTTCCCAGACGATTCGTTTCTTTTGTAGCATCGACACTGAAAGAGCAATAACAACGTGGGATGGCACCTGGGAGAGGGCCACACATGTGGACAAAGCCCAAAGTGCAAATCACACAAAGAAAGAGGAATTCACACCAGTCTTGAAAAATTAAGGAGAAACATAATGTTATCATGTTACATTACAGAACAAGCATGATTAAATAAGCAGCCCCAATATGGCAAGGCAGGGAAACTGAAACAGCTCTGTAAGATTTTTAAGTTAGTACAAAACCCAGAAAATGAAACATTTGGACTGTTTGAGCTGCCTGTTTTCAGGAATAGCAGAATCCAGACGTGAAAAAAATTATAAAGCTTGGACTGGAGTGGGTGTCAGACTAGAGCAACAAGGACACCCAGTCAAAAGAAATGTCTCTCTTCCAGGGAGTCTGTCCATCCTGCCTTCCAAACCAACTCATCTCAACTCAGATAAAGGAGTCCATTTTACAAAGGATAAATTTAGGCAGAAGACCAATGCAGAACTACAAGCCTCATCCAAGCAGAGCAACTCTCCACATAGCTTGTGCTATACTTCAAAGAAGAGGGCTTTGAGTCACCTACCATTCCTCACAGCCCAGGCATACAGGAGGCTCTCAGACCATGGATCAGTGCTCCAAAAGATTTCATAATTCACATTTCCCATTAAAAACAAAAAATTTGTATGAAAACAAGAAAAGAATTAGAAGCATTCAAAGCCTCTATCAATAGCAACTTGAGCTTACCAGTAGGTTTTGCTGAGGTACTGGAAATAGTACATGTAGCAGCCTGTGGATGGGTCTTGAGCATATACTGCCTCTCGTTTCTTGGCATCAGTGATCTCAATGAGATCCCCATGATATTCAACCACAAATTCTCCTCGATTAAAATGTTTAGTAGCAATTACTCCTCTCCCTTTTCCATCAATGTAATCAATCTGTTGAGTTGAAAAGAAAATACTCTCTCACTTCCCAGCTGCTTAACATCATTGCAGATATGCTGATTACTAGGAAATGCTTTGTCATTAAAAAGCTGCTGCAAAAGGGAATTTGTGTGTACTGCAGACAAAGCTGTAGAAGCACAATGTATGGCACAGTGGAATGCAGGATGAATTTGTGACACACTGAGTTACTGGGTAGCTGGACACAAAGTCTTCCAATGAAAGAACTCAGGAGTGCATTTCTGTGAAGACCTTAAAGCCCCCTCAGATTTATAAGTGAGGCTGCAGCACACACATATCCTCCACTCAAAAGGACATTGCTCACTCAAAAGGAAGGACTGTGTTCCAGTTCTCCTGCATTTTCATCAGAGATTGCAGGGTCCTGAGACTGAGTTCTGCTACTCTTTGTTTAAATAGATTAACATCAAGATACTCTGTAATAAAAAGTACATGACTACTTTGGTTGGCACTGCAGTTACCTTCATTCCTTCTTCTTTCCCACTTGTAATCAGCTCATCTATTTTCCTCCTTTCCTCAGTCTGCAGAATAAACAAGAACAAACAAAACCATAATGTTGTTGATAGCTTTTGTAGCTTCTTCTAGAGCTGGAAGGAAATTACCCACCAATGACACTCATTGTTCCAAACCATCTCATATTTCCAGCAAACTG